GGACCCTGGTCTTAGAAGCCGGGCTGTGCAACTCCATCTTTTTGAGTGCAAGAGAAAAAAAAAATGTATAACTTCTATTTATATTTAATTTACAATCTTTTTGAGTGCAAGAAGAATAATGTATGACTTGATTTATATTTAATTTGCCCTCATTCTTTTTAACGATTGCTCTGTTGAATATAGGCTTTACAATATCCTAGCATGCTAGGACTTTAGTACATTTATATAATTCATGAATAAATCTACATGTGTTTGGGCTGCATGGTCAGAAAGTATTTATGACAGTGTTGTTTGATCCATCAGGTCTGCCAGTTGCAATTTAGGGGGAGTGGCCCTGTGAGAAGCAGAGAAAATGCCATGCTGGTTTAGAGCGCACTCCATTTCAGATCCACTTTGTGGGAACGTGTGAATTCTTGCTGTAATTCAACCTCGATAAATGTCAGTTGTGTTTCTCAGGCACCCTCACCTCTCCTTAAGAGCCCTCATCCAGCAGTAAATCACCTCTGAGGTGGCATGTCTCCCTCAGGGAAACAAGTTTTGTGATGTGATTGCCAGGCAGGCAAAGTGGTTCTTGATATTCAAACTGAAATCTGGGGGTTGTGAAGGGTGCTCTCCTTCCTGCCCTGGGAGCTGGGCACATAGTAGCTGGGTGTGCAGTCGCCTCCGGGAGGTGCACACCTGCCTCTGTTCTGTGATTCACTGGGGACTCTGGACCTAATGCTTTATGTGTCTCTTAGTCTGCCTGTCTCAAATGCCCTTCACCTGGACATTTTTGTTCATTCTTGGGGTGCAGCGGGATGAATGCAGTGAGCCATTCTCGATGTCCCACAACTGTCATGTGCTTTATTTTTATGCCCTGGAGGAGTATCTGGATAGACAAGAAGGAAGTCAGGGTGAATGAGAAGGCCAGGTGGGGAGAAGAACTGGGTCACGTCTTACCTCGTCCGCTTACAGTGAGCAGCCGCTACCATCCCTCTGGTCTTCTCCCCTCTTCCTCATCCACCTTCCTCCTCTTTCCTCTCCATCCTTCTCTCCCTCCCCCTCTTTCATCTTCTGCCTCCCCCCTCTCCCTTCCTCTCTCATCTCCCTTTCTCCCTTCTCTTTTCCCCTCTCCCCTGTCTTTCCTCTCTACCCACCTCCCCCCTAACCCCCCACTCCTATCATTCTCCCTTCCCTTCCTTTCCCCTCTCTTTCTCATTAAAATTATTTTCTTTTCCAAACGGGGAAATTCCTTTATATAGAAAGAAGATTAAGCCTTTCATGAAATGATCAAACTTTCCCTTAGGTAGGACTAGTAGAATACGAATTCATGCCTTTTAGGTCTCGGTGGGTCCACACCTCAGATCTAGTGAGGCATTGGAGTCTATGGAGAAGCTATCCTGACCATGGTGAAAATGCTAACAAGAATTTTACAGACCTGCCTCACCAATACAGACCAACTTAAGGATCTGGGCCCAGAATGTGGAGGTACAGCAGCCTGATTCCTGGTCCTGATGAGAATGCATATCTGCAACTCCGTGTGTCTTTTCTGCTCCTCTGACCTCTGAGCCCTGTGTTCAGGCACAGAACCTTCATTTCGCTGAATTCTCTTATGATTACTTAAATTTTCTCATTAATGAGTATTTGCAGAAATGGTAACTTGAAGATAAACTGATTAGACATTGAGGAAAACAAACCTAAAGCCAAAAGCCAGGTCAGTGAGTCACCGTAATGTAATGGGGCTCAGATGTCCTTTGCACTCCTGCCTGACCACAGCCAAGACAGTGCGGGGAGAACCACCCTGAGCCGCATCAGGCCTAGGCTGTCTCACTCCACCCTGCTGCCAGAGTCATAGCCACTGGGGCTCTGAACCTTCCTGCATAGGACAACTGGTGTGTGCAGGGAACAAGCCAGGCAGATGCAATATTTGGGGAAAAATAACTGAAGCTTAATTTAAGAAACAAAACAGTTAAAAGGATTCAGCAAAAAAAAAAAAACTTTGAAATGAGAAAAATAAAAACCCTAACTGCCCCTGATTCTGTTCCCTTTCTTCTCTGTCCTTTCTGGACCCTTCCCAACGTGATTAGCAATGCTGGACCAGCCAGTTCCAGGGTGACATTGATCTGGAGCAATGGATATTGGCTGTGGCTGTGGGATTCATAGTATTTCCTCAGCTCCTTGGTGTCATTTGACCATGCTTGGTTCCTGGAACTAGGAAACTCCAGTCTTCAGATTTTTTATTATTATTATTATTATTATTATTATTTGAAGGTCTTTGGGACTAGAAGGCATTTTGAGTTTTTGAGCACTTAGGTGCCTTGTTCATATTTACATAGATATTTTTGTGTGATCGATGCCATTAAGTAGCTGATGCCCACTAGTCTTTCAAACAGGGCACGGGGTCGTGGGGGGTGGGGTAGCTTGCTTTCCTAGGGCATCCCTCTCATTCTGAATGTACCTGAAGAGCACTCTGGTCTTTTCTCCATCCACATACTGAATAGTTACTCTAACTTGAACTGTCTCCTTGTTTCTCAGCATTGAAGCTGACCACATTGACTTCAGCCTTAGCTGTCTGGAGTCATGAGCTCTCAGTGCTTTTTAACTTGACATCTGATAAGGCCTTCCTCCAAAGCAGCTCCTCCAAACACAGGAACTGGGGAAGAATTGATGTTCATTGTGGGTACCTGGCCCACAAAATCTGTTGTACGTACCATACTTATTTTAAAACAGATTTTCTAATAAGTCCACTGACTCCCATTGAACAGATAGAGGCACTGAGTAATGAATTCAGCAATGTCACAGGTGTGCTGACTCACAAGCTGAGGGGAAATCTCCACGCTTGTCTTTAGCAAGTATGTCCTTTTCACATCAGGAGCTAGCAATAAGGTAAATCCAATATTGCTTGCTGCACACACACGTCCACAAATGAATCCTTTCTCCTAGGCTCCTACCATTCCTTGTACTCTTGAGAGAAATTTGTGTCTCTCTTCTCCTCTGTACAGTGTATTGCAAAGCAGTGGGCTTACTTGGGCAACAATTTAATGAAGTAAGAATTTCAAGCCTGGGTGGGTGGTGGTGGCGCACACCTTTAATCCCCGCACTGGGGAGGCAGAGGCAGGCAGATCTCTGTGAGTTCAAGGCCAGCCTGGTCTACAGAGAGAGGTCTAGGATGATGAGGGCTACACAGAGAAACCAGGTCACGAAAAACCAAGGTGTGTGGGGGGGTGGCGGGTAGTGGAGAATTTCAAGCATGTTTGATTTAATTTCAAGTCATAAAAATAGGGAACTGTGAGCGCTTTTAGTCAAGTTTAAAGGGAAAATGGTACTGTAACAGGTAATGTTTTCTTAGATGCGTGCTGGGAGACAGCTGTTGAAAACGCAGAAAGATGATTGTATCCATCGTACTTTGGATGGGTAACCTCTGTAGCCTGAAACGTGTGTGTGTGTGCTGTGTGTGCTTTTGTAGCTGTGTCTGTGTGTGCGTGCAGATGTGTGCTCATGAACACAGAGGCCAGAGGTCAGCATCGTGGCTCCTTCTGTCATGCTCCACTGTGGTTTTTAAGATGATCCCTCAATGAACCCAGGGCTGCCCGGCATGGTTAAGCTGACTGGCTGGCTCAAGAATGCCAGGGAGCAGCTTGTCTCACTGTAGTGCCGGGACTGCAGGTGTGCACAGCTGGACACATGGTGTCAGGGTGTCACATGGGTGTGACACTGGTCACATGGGTGTCAGGGTGCTTGTTCGTGTGCCATCTTCCTGGCCCTCAAATTGTACACTTTATAATGTTTAGCAATAATATGAGTCTCCCACGTGCCTGCTACTGTTTCTAATTAATTCGTAGTGTGTAAGCTATCTTGTTAATTTTTGCAAACCTTTTAGGGGTACACACTATTGTTATCTCTGAGAAGACAGGTCTAACTTGCCCAAGGTTAGACAGCCACCCAAGATTAATCACCCTTGCCTGTGGTCAAACACGGGACCCCAGGAAGATTGACTTTGAGTCCCAAACCACTGCGCTCACCTGCCTTTCAGTGGCAGGGCCTCCATGTCATGATTTCATTTGGGGTTTTAAACATTTTTCTACTTAATGAGGACCAGCTCACTATATAGTTAGAAGGATAAATAGTTGTCCTATTTGATGACAGATGTGATGGATTTTTTTTAAAAAGAAAGCCCCAGGCAAAGTCATGCACATTTTCTTACATATTCCTCCATCTGTATTTACTCTGTGAAAAGGTCGCTTGAGCACAAGTGCTCAGATTTCATGTTCCTCAGCAGCTTCTCTGTGGCTAAAGCTTGCTCTACAAATCGACTTCTACAATATTTTGTGATGATGTATATGCTATCCAGTGCGAACACTCTAGAAGAGAGCCACTGAGTCATGGGAACCTCCCAACTAGGACCTCTGGGAGGTTTCTTCATGAATGCCAGGAATCGGGAAGTAAGTTTTATCTTTCTCTCAGATGATGTCTGTCCATCCAGTCACATTTACTGGAAGGAACACTGTTCTGGGAGCCTAAGGTGTGTCTCTCATCACTTAACTATCTGGCTATGAGTTGCGGGGGAAGAGGCAGGGAAGGGAGAGACAAAAAAGATGAAATGGTAAATTACTGCAGGTTCTTGAGAAAAATGGAATTAGAAGCATTTGTGGTTCGGATGAAAATAGCTCATTTCCTTTCTGCTCGGACCACGGGGCTCAGAGTGCTCCGGGGAATAGAAAATAAATAAAAATTGATTCCTCACCAGTTGAAGGAAATGCCCTGACTCTGGGAACTGAAATGACAGGCCCAGAGCCGAAGACCGCGTAGAGCCACTTTTGAAGGTTAAAAAAAGGAAAGAAACAAAAGAAAACAACACCAGGAGGCTTTAAAAAAAAAAAAAGTGACATTCTATGTTAGGGAATATAGTCTACCTACAATGATCTGAGAGGCAATTTTCTGAGACTGACCACCAGGTAGCAGAACCTGAGCAGGTGTGAAGTTCTTCCTTGCTGACCATGGTCCTTCTATGTCTTCTACAGGTGAGAAGCCTTACAAGTGCTCATGGGAAGGATGCGAGTGGCGTTTTGCACGGAGCGATGAGCTCACAAGGCACTACAGGAAACACACAGGTGCAAAGCCCTTTAAGTGCAACCACTGCGACAGGTAAGGCCGCTTAGCAGCTGCTGGACTGAGGGGGAAGATCGTGCAGTAGATTGGAGGCCGGTCCACACGTGTGATGTGGGGCTAGTTACAGGCCTGGCTCAGGCCCAGCTCTGGTGCAGTAGATTGGAGGCCGG